GTGATGTCACAAGGATGCCACTCAGATAGGAAATGAACTCAAAGACCCCGAAGTGATGAGATCATGCAGCAGCCACAGAATGTGAGGAGGAAACACACACACACACACACACACACACACACAACACACACACACACACACACACACACCACCCACTCTTACCATCCGAGCCTCCGAAGGAAACGCTCCTCTTCCTCCTCAGCATGGTGTCTCTTTAGTCTCTGTTTTGTGTCTGGTTCTCTCTCTCCACCTTAAATCCCTCGTCACTCGCCCTCTCTCCTGCTGCCGTTAATGTTTCTCTCCTGCACACACACACACCACACACACACACACACCACACCAGGAGAGAGGGAGGGAGCTGAAGGGAGGATATGAGGGGGTGATAGTCTCATCATTCCACTCCCTTCCTCTCCCCACCCTGACGAAGCAGTCAAACTTATCATCCATAATGCATGGAGCTGCAGGGAACACGCCGGCGTTATGTAACGCGAAGAAGGCAGAAGATCAATCAGCTTTGTTTTGGAAGAGGACACACACTTCCTGTTTACACACCACAGGTTACACACTATTTATTAGCATAGATAATAGAATAGAAAGAGCTGGAAAGCATCATAATGGAACCTGCGTTAGCGTTTAGCCGTTAGCAGTTAGCTTCCACGTTTCTTCCACTGTAACGTTCACGGTTTGTTTTGGAAAGAGGACACACACTTCCTGTTTACACACCACAGGTTACACACTGTTTATTAGCATAGATAATAGAAAGAGCTAGAAAGCATCATAATGGAACCTGCGTTAGCGTTTAGCCGTTAGCAGTTAGCTTCCACGTTTCTTCCACTGTAACGTTCACGGTTTGTTTTGGAAAGAGGACACACACTTCCTGTTTACACACCACAGGTTACTGTTTATATCATCTGGATTATATTATAGTAGACGTTACCTTATTGCCCAGTACTCATTTTTACTGCGTAGAGCTTGAAGCCTCACAATGGCACCTTCGTTAGCCTTTAGCCATTAGCTTTTAGCCGTTAGCTATTAGCTTCTGCTCTCCCGCGTTTTTCCACTAAAATGTTCACGTTTTTTTTTTTTTTAAAAGGAGACACTTCCTGTTTACACACCACACTGTTTATTAGCATCTACCTCTGGATTACTTTATTGGAGTAAAGCTTGAACGCATCGTAGTGGAACGCCATGGAAACCTTCGTTAGCCGTTAGCCGTTAGCTCCCGTTCCCGGTATTTTTCCTCGTTTTTACACTTTTCTACATTTACATTTTTTGTCACAATATTTCTAGATTTTCTGTAATTGTTCTGCGTTTCCACTTCACCTGACTGACAGACTAACAGCTAAATGATATGTAACAGACACATCAACTGAAGCGTCGAGGAGGTAATATCTTCTGCTCACGCGATTATTAGATTTTCTCGGACGTCATCATAGTGGGAAATAATTTTGTTAAAGAGGCGCTATTCTGATTTCTGTGCTGTTCCCTCTCCGTCCATCAGAATCAGAATCAAGTTTAATTCAATCATCAGTAATCATCAAACAAAGGTACTCTGTTGCCACACACACACACACACACACACACACACACACACACACACACACACACACACACATTTTCTGGAGACTTATTCTAACCCTAACCCTAACCAAGTCTTCACCCCTAAAATGAATGATTCCCCTCATGGGGAACCTCCATTATGTCCCCATAAGGGAGGGCGAGTCCCCACACGTGACTGTGTAAACAGATTTAGGTCCCCACAAGTATAGTAATGCTAGGCCACACACATACACACACACACACACACACACACACACACACACACAGAATCACTGATGCGAGGACAACAGAAAGAGAGGAGCTGCTTCTTATTTCTCTCTCCCAGGCTGTGACCACAAACTGTTTCTATTATATTCTATTTTATTTACTTGTACTATTTTATCTGTTTATTGTGTTGCACTGTGGGAGGAGCCTGTGACCTCAGATTTTCATTGTCATAACTACACTGTAGCTTTGCTCACATGACAATTAAATCCTTGAAACCTTGTATTTTTGTATTAAACTTGTCAAGGTGGGGTGGGAGGGGAGGCGATGGTTTGTTCTAAAAAATAGAAAATGGATGAAGATCATCGTCTCAATTGTAACCCTGTATGATTATGCCTGTTCTTCAATAAAAAAACATTGGTAAAAAAAAAAGAGATGAAAATGATTGACCAATCCGCTGCGAGCAGGGTTCGAACCTGCGCGGGGAGACCCCATTGGATTTCAAGTCCAACGCCTTAACCACTCGGCCATCGCAGCTTACGTCACAATACCGGAAGACGGTAGATTTAATCAGTTACTTTTAAAGTACGGTTTAACTCAACATTCAGCGTATATAGAGTGTGGAAATAAAAGCGATAACATCGAAAGTAGCGTGTTTTGAGGGTGTCCCAGTTCCGGCTAATGTGGCCGTTCGGGGGGGTCAAAAACGTCCACTCTGATCCGGTGATGAGGCCACGGTCCCGGGTTGCTCTGCTGGGGAAGCGGTGTGACAGAAGTTAAAGTCGATATAACGTTAAATCCTTGACAGAAGTCGACATTATAAGCAAGTCATGCGGTAGGTGAACGTCTAAAGAACAGTTCAGGATACTTGACATTGATTTCAGGACTGTTAAAAACCATAAAAACAGCACTTAGTTTGATAGAATGACTGTGGCTCATACGTCATGACGTCGAAGTGCTGCTTCGGTGTGGTCTGCCCCTAGTGGCCGGAAACAGTATTATATAATTACAGTATTTCATCTTCTTAAATAAATCAAATAAATAAATTGTGATCCAATTCTCCCTCATGGCCTCTACGGGGCGCGATGGACTTATTTCTCACCGTCGGTGTTCCCTGTGTCCGTGCTTTTATTGTGAAAGGGGGAGCAGGAAGTGTGTATTACTGCGCGCACACAACACACACACACACACACACACACACACACACACACACACACACACACACACACAACACACACAACACACACACCACACACACACACACACCACACACACACACACACCACACACACCACACTCCTGCAGCCTACAAATTGTGATCCACTTCTCTTCTCATGGCCTCCACCGGACGCAATGGACTACTTTCTCCTCGTCAGTGTTCCCTGTCCGTGCTTTTATTGTGAAAGACGGAGCAGGAAGTGTGTGTTCTTGCTCACACACGCACACACACACTCTCTCTCCTCCTCCTCCTCCCGGTCGTCATGGTGCAGATGATGGAGTCGCAGTGTGAATACTTCATGTATTTCCCGGCGGTGCCCATCACGGACCTGTCGGACCCTGGTCGGTACCGCCTGCTGCCCCGCAGGAGCCACCTGTTCCTGGGGGAGACGGTCCGCTTCCTGCTGGTGCTGCGGAGCCGGGGGGGGGGGACCCCGCCCGACACCGGTGAGCAGGGGGGGGACAAAGGTATCTGTATGCATGATGAGGAGGGCGGGACGAGACATAAATATATCTGTATGCATGATGAGGAGGGGGACACACAAAGATATCTATATGAAGACACTTATATATATATATATATAGTGAGGAGGAGGAGGGGGGATACATACATCTCAGTGTCGCTATGCTTGGTTCGATCAATGCTGTGGTTTAATATCCCTTATAATTAAATATATACAATAAAGAGTTGTAACAGCAGCATGTTTAAAAAATGTCCCAAATTTGGATCAATGAAGCACTTCTTATCTTATGTAAACAAGGCATTGCACAATAACTACCTACTATAATCATATACACAGGACATCTCAGTGTCTCTATGGGTGGTTCAGTCAATGCTGTGATTTAGTTCCTTATAATTACATCAGATTCTTCATTGGTCTCAATTATAGTTTTTTGGTAGCATGTAAACAAGGCATTGCACAATAACTACCTACTATAGTACTATATATATATCAGTGTCTCTATCGAGCATGGTTCAGTCAATGCTGTGGGTTAGTATTCCTGATCATTACATCAGAGGTATTCGTCCTATTTGGGTTTTCATAGCAGAATGTTAACGATGAATTGCAAATAAAATAAATAGAAACATACATAATATGAAAGATACAGAAAACGCTAGCATACAATAACACACCTATACAGCGGGACGAGGGGAAACAAAGATATTTCAGTGTCTATTATTTGCATGCATTTCATTCTGAATTGATCTGTGTTTGGGATCGTTTGTTGTTAACGCAGTATGAACACACATGAGCACAATAACTACTCATATTTCACAATCTAATATTTAATAACCCATTCCTTGCACAATTAATGTATATATAATATCCTGCTTATATTTAGTTTACTGTACATTTGTATTTCAACATGTATATTTTCTACTTTTTTAAAGCTATTTTTTTTCTATTTGAGATAGAAACATTTTGGATTGTTTATTTCTAGGCTTTTAATTTCTCTAATGTGCAATGCCTTGTGTTTTGATTCTGCTGCAACGCTAACATTTCCTGAATTGTTTAGACTCAGTTTAACGTGTTCTCTCGGTTCCTCCCGCGGACTCAGTTTAGACTCAGTTTAGATTCTCTTTAGACTCAGTTTAGATTCTCTTTAGACTCTCTTTAGACTCAGTTTAGATTCTCTTTAGACTCAGTTTAGACTCAGTTTAGACTCAGTTTAGATTCTCTTTAGACTCAGTTTAACGTGTCCCCCGGTTCCTCCAGCGGACGGCGCCGCCCCCTCCTTCGGGTCGGAGTCGGCCAGCAGCCGGGCCTGGAGGGATCTGGCTGGCTCTCTGAGCGCCGTGGCCAGCGTGAGTCCAGGGGAGAGCAGCCGGCACCGGGGGAACAACCACCATCAGAACCACCAGAACCACCAGAACCATCACGACTTCCAGAGCGGAGACGAGGCCAACGACGACGGAGACGACGACTACATCGCAGCAGCGGAGGCGGCCATCGCGGCGCTCGGCAGCCGGGTCGATTCCCGCTGCCGCAGCTTCAGAGACTGCAAACCTCTGCTGATCCACAACTCCTCGGGACGGCAGGGGGGTTTCGCAGGGCGCCGGTTCAGGTACACTGAGGAGGAGGCCTGCACCCATTAGGACAGGGGGGCCAAACCTTTTTCACGAGGGCCACACACAGACAAACATACGAAGGGCTGGGCCGCTCACTAGAGGTTTATTACCTCATAAGTTAGAAAAATCTATCAAATGTTGTCAATTATGCAGACCATATTACTTCCAGAACACGTCTCAATTGTGTTCTGACAGCTACGTTTCTGATTGGCCCGTGGGTGTAAAGCCGCCCACATTTTAGTAATGTGGTCATGACGCAGCAAAATCTGGATCAGCTTCCGGTGGTTCCCCCCCCCCCGTTTTTAGAGATGTGGGTACGGAGGAAAAGAGAGAGGGGTTTATTTCCTGACACTTTGAGAGTCTCCTGACACACCGGGGACACACGGGGACACACCGGGGACACATGGTGATGTAGAGAAGACATCAGAAAGAGCATTCTGCATGATAGGAGAGCTTTAGGAGATGCATAGCTATGCTCGGTGGCTTCATACGGTGTGTCTGTGTCCTCAGTCTCCTCTGGACGAGCCGGTGGTTCTCACTGATGAGGTCATCTTCCCGCTCACCGTCTCTCTGGACAAACTGCCCGTCAGCACGCTGAAGGTCAAGGTCAGAGACTAACAGAGTTCAGATTTAAATCATTCATACGAGGAATTTGACCTGATGTTGTGGTGCACACACACATCAGAATAAAAACAACATAAAAACAACAGATAGAAAACTATTTTAATAAAACTATAATACCAATGAAAACGTTGTCATGTTGCCGTTGTTCAGCATGGAAACATTCATTAGCTAACAATGACATTATTGTTCTATTAATATAAAGGGAGGTCAGTACTCTTTAAAACAGCTGCTAGTTATGGGTACTTTTTACTGAAGTACATTTCAAAGCCCTCTTTACTTTTACTTGAGTAAAGAAGTTTAGTCAGTACTTTCTACTTTTACCAGAGTATGTTTAAACACGAGTATCTGTACTTCTACTTGAGTAAAGGATGTGTGTACTTTTGCCATCTCTGTGTGTGTGGTGTGTGTGTGTGTGGTGTGTGTGTATGTGTGTGTGTGTGTGTGTGTGTGTGGTGTGTGTGTGTGTGTGTGTGTGTGTGTGTGTGTGTGTGTGTGTGTGTGTGTGTGTGTGCAGGTGATGGTCACGGTGTGGAAGAAGGAGGCGGAGAAGGCGGAGGTTCAGGAGCTGGGATATCTGAGCGTCCTGCAGCAGAGAGAACCAACACACACCTTCAGACACGACCTGAACACCTTCAAGGCTCAGGTGTACACACACACACACACACACACACACACACACACACACACACATTAATAACAGTGTGTTTTGTTCCTCAGTGAGTACAAAACGCTGACTGTGTTGCCGCCGCTCACTACCGTCCGCTGCAAAGCAGGATGACCGTCTCTGGAAAACACCTCGCTGTCCTCAACAGGTCAGAGGTCAAGTAGAAGTACTCAGATCTTGTACTTGAGTAAAAGTAGAAGTACTCAGATCTTGTACTTGTACCCTCAGTGTTGAACGATCCTCTCAGGAGGAGCTGAGTATTCGGGACGTTCGTATTTTACCGAACCTGAACGCCTCGTACCTCCCGATGATGCCGGACGGCTCCGTGCTGCTGGTGGACAACATCAGGTACTATAATAATAATAATAATAATATAATAATAATCCTTATATTTATTATAGCGCTTTATCAATGACTCAAAGCGCTATACAAATACACATTACACATACAGATCATACGTAATGGTCTACTGTGGACAATACCCACAGGAGCAAGTTCAAGTGAAGTGTCTTGCCCAAGGACACCACGGTTTTACAGACGCAGCGGCGGCGGGTTTCGCCCCCCTTGATCTGATGATCATTGCACAGCCCACTGCGCACTGCGCCACACCGCCATCTTCACACCTCGAAGTCATCGAGGCGCTTTTACAAGTACACATTGATATCATACATGTACTGTGGACAATACCCACAGGAGCAAATTCGGGTGAAGTGTCTTGCCCAAGGACACAACGGCCTACTACATCCATATATATACATATATATATATATGTATATGTATATATTATGTATATATATATATTACATGTAGTGGCTAAATCCTATCAGTTTGACTTATAACTCAAAATGTTCCTTTTCTCTTCTTGGCCACATGGAGATCTTGGGGTCAGACTCGCAGTAAAATATCCTCTGGACGTTTTGATTGATTGATCTTCAACGTTTATTTCCCAAAAACAATATCACGTAACTTAAACTTCAGCAGCAGGTCCTATTCATCTGTTTCAGTAAACTACACTGAGGCTGAGGTCACACCCCCTACCTCCAACTTAAAACGTTAGCCCCGCCCCCTTCACCTGAGCAAGGCACACCTCTTGCTGCAATAGAAAAATGCATCAATGCTGCTCCTACACCTCAGTCAGCTGCAGGAGGAGATACATGTGTTTACCCCCCCCCCCCCCCTCTGTGCAGCCATCAGTCTGGCCAGGTGGGCATGGCGTCGTTCTGCCGGGTCGATAGCTCGGCCTGCAGACTTCCCAGCATGCTCAGCGCTCTGGAGGAACACGACTTCCTGTTCCAGCTCCACCTCAACGACACGCCGCCCGACGACTCCAACGAGGTGCGAGCCGATTATAACTTTACTATTGATTGTGATTCATTCTTAAAGTCGCAATATCATACTTTATATTCATCTGTGTGTTGTGTTTGTGTGTGTGGTGTGTGTGTGTGGTGTGTGTGTGTGTGTGTGTGTGTGTGGTGGTGTGTGTGTGTGTGTGTGTGTTGTGTGTGTGTGTGTGTGTGTGTGTGTAGGGTTTAGAGGTTCCCCTGGTAGCGGTGCTGCAGTGGTCGACTCCCAAGATGCCGTTCACCAACTGCATCTACACCCACTACAGGTGAGGGACTTCACAGATAACGTTCTGATCTTTGTCAGGTGTGTGTTCCATAATGGTTTATTCATATTATTCACACATATTTCTAATTATTTTAGGAATTTTTTTCGACATATTTTCTTAAATGTTTTGAAATATTTTCCACAATAACTTGCTCGAATAATTTTCAGATTTATTTTTAAATGTTTTCCATATTTGTTCACCTATATTTAACATATTAAACAATTACAATTCAGATTTTGTGATAAGTTTTGACCCATATTTTTCCACATATTTCACAAATCAATTCCATATATTTCTTACCAAATAACTGAGATTTGATTGGACATTTAAAAAATATTTTTTGAGATTTTATGACACTTTTTGGGATCATTTTGACCGTTATTTTACACATTAAAAAGGAAAAAATGTGACATATTTTCCAAATAACCGTCTTATCTTTTGACTCCCTTATTTTTCACTGATATTTTCCTGTTAATTTCACATTTAAATCCCATTCTCCCTGATATTCTCCCTGATATTCTCCCTGATACCCCCAGGCTGCCCAGCCTCCATTTGGACCGGCCTCGCTTCGTGATGACGGCCAGCGCCCCGAGCACCGTGCGCGTCAGAGAGGACTTCAGAGTGAAATACGTTCTGCTCAACAACCTGCAGGACTTCCTGGCGGTCCGACTCGTCTGGACCCCCGAGGGTCAGAAACACTGTGTGTGTTATTAATGTGTGTGTGAGGAGTGTGTTATAATGTGTGTGTGATCAGTGGGTAGTGTGCTGGACAAGTTCGAGTCCCACTGCAGTCAGCATGTCGTTGTGTCCCTGAGACTCTTCACCCCAAATTGCTCCTGTGGGGATTGTCCACAGTACTGACTGTATGTAAGTCGCTTTGGATAAAAGCGTCTAACAAGTGACATGTAATGTAATGTGATGTGTGTGATGTGTGTGTGCAGGTCGAGGTGTGTGTGATGAAGCCTCTCTGGTGCCGGTGGTCTGTCGCTCCCCCCTCAGTAACCTTGGTTACTGTCGGAAAGGAAGCACCATCTCCTTCAGCGTCAACTTCCAGATCCTCAAAGCTGGACTCTACGAGGTACTATAGTGCTATTCTATTCTATTCTATTCTATCTGTTTTATTGTGTTCTGTTGGAGTAGGAATCTGTGACCTCAGATTTTCATCGATATAACTACACTGTAGCTCTGTACCCATGACAATAAAAGCCTTGAATCTACACAACATCCTTTGAGATAACACAGTGTAAAACCAGAACCAGAACCTGAACCTGAACCAGCCAAGTAGAACTAGATCTAGAACTAGTAAAAGTAGAAGTACTCAGATCTTGTACTTGGTATTTCAGTGAAAAGGGAAAACAGATCAGTAGGACTGGGTACCGTAAGGTAAAGGACGTGATGAAGGTGTTGATTGAGGAGTATTCACCCTCTGGGCTCTGGCTTGGTTCTGTAGTATCAGGTCCAGTGTAAGTTGTAATGAAATACGTTTCCTGTATAAAGAGACCAGTGTAACGAGTGTTCTCTCTTTAGCTGAGTCAGCACATGAAGCTGAAGCTGCAGTTCACCGCCTCCGTGTCCAATCCCCCCCCCGACGCCCGGCCGCTGTCACGTGAGAACACTTTCATTTTGTATCTGAGCGGAGGTAAAGCAGACCCATTCATACCAGGGAAGAGTTATCATTTGAAAAATATGTTGTCAAAATGTTGAGGAAAAATTTCACAAATTCATAAAGTAAGTTTAAGAGAAAACAAGACAGAATCTTTAGGAAAAAAAGTAAGATTTTGAGAAAAAAAATAAGATTGTGAGAAAAAAAACAGGAAATTGAGAAAAAAGAATTAAGAAAAGCTAAAACATTTATAAAGAAAGATTATCAGAAAGAAAAGACATAATTTGAGAAAAAGTAAAAAGTGTTTCTCCTCCAGGTAAGAACAGCCCGTCCAGCCCGGCCTTCAGAGACCTGCTGGACCGACACCAGGCCAGTCTGGGTCGATCACAGTCCTTCTCTCACCAGCAGCCCTCACGCTCTCACATCATGAGGTACACACACACACACACACACACACACACACACACACACACACACACACACACACACACACACACACACACACACACACAGTCATACCTCATATTAAAACACTGTTTATTTACTGATAAAATATATCTGATTTAAAAATCTGTGTATTAGAAACATTTTAAGTCAGAATTTCAGAAAAAAGTGTGTGTGTGTGTGTGTGTGTGTGTGTGTGTGTGTGTGTGTGTGTGTGTGTGTGTGTGTGTGTGTGTGTGTGTGTGTGTGTGTGTGTGTAGGACGGGCAGTGCCATGGAGCGCCGGGCCATCACCCCCCCCGTCGGCTCTCCGGTCGGTCGGCCTCTTTACCTTCAGGACAAATCACTGCTTTCTGTGGACAAGATCGCCAAGAGGGAGTGTAAAGTGCTGGTGCTGGAGTGAGGGGGGCGGGGGAAGGACGCAAGGAGAGGAGGAAGGAGAGAGGAGATGAGACGACGATGAGGCAGCGAAGAGAGGCCCAAAGTTAACAGGACAAAGCCTGTTTACTCCCATTGAACAGCTAGGGGTCTTTTTCCTCCAATAATAAACATTTCTTTCAATTTTTTTGAAAAAAGTCGAAATTCTGAGAAAAAAGTCAGAATTTTAAGAAAAAAGTCAGAATTTTAAGAAAAAAGTCAGAATTTTAAGAAAAAATACAGAATTTGAGATAAAATCAGAATTGAGCAAAAAGTCTTAATTTTCTGAAAAAAGTCAGAATTTTGAGAAAAGTCAACATTTTGAGAAAAATGTCAAAATGTTGAGAAAAATGTTAACAAATCTGATTACTAGAAAAAAGTCAAAATTCTGAGAAAAAAGTCAGAAATTCTGAGAAAAAAGTCTGCATTTTAAAAAGTCCGGATTTTTTGAAATTTTTTAAAAATGTAAGAAAAAAATCTGAATTTTAGAAAAAAATCTGAATTTTAGAAAAAAATCTGAATTTTGAGACAAAAGTTAGAATTTTGAGACAAAAGTTAGAATTTGAGAAAAAGTGGAGGAGAGGCCCAAAGCTAACATGTTGACTCCCATTGAACAACTAGGGGTCTTTTTTACTCAATATTCTCCCTTTCTGGATCTGTTCTATTGACCTGTCTGAGACGGATATGTACAGCTTTAATGTAATATAAATATGAATATGTATTATGATGCTGCTGTATTATTTAAGGGTGACTCACCTTTACTCTCAGTGTTATCATCAGTCTGCTTTATTTTACAAACTGAATAATTTATTATATTTGATCCGTCTACGGATGGTGTCACTTCTGTATTTTTAAACCCAGGTCATATTTCTCATGTTTTGTTTGTAATTGGTTCAGTATTGACAGCGCACTGCACTCTAAACTCTAATGAATGTCATTAATAAAATAATATAAATATCAACTGATCGTTATTTCTCTGCACTCAGTTTTGAGAAAAAAGTCAGAATTTCAGGAAAAAGTCCGAATTCAGGGGAAAAGTCAGAATTTGAGACACTTCACATCCACATTAAGTTTAATTCAGAGACATGTATTTGTTTGTCATTTCATATAAAATACAAAATATGAGTGAAGGTTCATTTGCCTTCACTCTGAAAAGACGATATTCTCACCATTAAACTCATATTCAGTAAATATTATAAAAGTAATAAACCTTTTTGCATGCTTGAATAAAGTGAATCGAGATGGCCACGGGTTAGGGTTAGGGTTTGTCGATGCGGTCACACTATAATTAGACTTTTCAATCAAGGGTCCAATTAAAGGTTGACAATATTTAGCTATAAACTTAATAACAGGCGACCGATTCTCTAAAAACACTTCCATCTTCAGTTGTAGTTTCTCTGTTTCAATTTGAGAAGAAAGTCAGAATGTTAATAAAAAAGTCAGAATTAGAGAAAAGTCAGAAAACAAATTTGAAAAAGTCAGAATTTTGAGGAAAAATCTGACTTTTGAGATAAATTCAGAAATCTAGAAAAAAGTCAGAACATTTTAAGAAAAAATACAGAATTTCAAGGATTCAAGGCTTTAATTGCCATGTGTTCAGAGCTACAGTACAGATATGACAATGACAATCTGAGGTCACAGGCTCCTCCAACAGTGCAACACAATAACACAGATAAAATAGTGCAAGTAAATAGAATATAATAGAAATAGTGCAGAATAGTTTATATACAAGTAATTGGAATATTGATTATATAAGTTGAGAAATTTGAGAAAACAGTCAGAATATTCAGTAAATGTTATAAACGTAATAAACCTTTTTGCATGCTTGAATAAAGTGACTCTAGATGGCCACGCTGTTGTCGATGCGGTCACACTATAATTAGACTTTTCAATCAAGGGTCCAATTAAAGGTTGACAATATTTAGCTATAAACTTAATAACAGGCGACGATTCTCTAAAAACACTTCCATCTTCAGTTGTAGTTTCTCTGTTTCAATTTGAGAAAAAAGTCAGAATGTTAAGAAAAAAGTCTGAATTAGAAAAAAGTCAGAATACAAATTTGAAAAAATCAGAATTTTGAGAAAAAAATTGAGAAAAATCAGAATTTTAGAAAAAAAATTCAGATTTGAAGAAAAGACAGAATTTGAGTAAAGATTTTAAGAAAAAATACAGAATTTGAGAAAAAAATGTCAGAATTAGAGAGAAGTCAGAATACACATTTGAAAAAGTCTGAATTTTGAGGAAAAATCTAAATTCTGAGATAAATTCAAAATTCTAGAAAAAAGTCAGAATTTGAGTAAAAAGTCAACATTTTAAGAAAAAATAAAGAATTTCAAGGATTCAAGGCTTTTATTGCCATGTGCTCAGAGCTACAGTGCAGATATGACAATGACAATCTGAGGTCACAGGCTCCTCCAACAGTGCAACACAATAACACAGATAAAATAGTGCAAGTAAATAGAATATAATAGAAATAGTGCAGAATAGTTTGTATACAAGTAATTGGAATATTGATATATATAAGTTGAGAAATTTGAGAAAACAGTCAGAATATTCATTAAATGTTATAAACGTAGTAAACCTTTTTGCATGCTTGAATAAAGTGACTCTAGATGGCCACGCTGTTGTCGATGCGGTCAGGACTCAGGTAATCGTACGGCAGGTCCAGGTGGAGGTTTCTCTCTGCGATGTCTTCAGAGATTTGCTTCAACTCGGCCTGCACTTCCTCCACCAGCCTGCGGGGGGGCGCCCTCTCTGAACACCGCCTCCCTGTAGTGGCACAGGGGAATCTGCAGGGGGAGACATAGGTGAGCATCTCACTAAATGTGACTTGGTGTAAGTGTCATAGTCAAACGTAAATATGTTCTCATGCACAGTCACCCATAAAGAAAAACAGGGCTGAAACAGAGGGGATTATGGGTAATGCTGCAATGATCTGTTTGGTGTTTCAGACAATCAGAGACAGGCTCTGGATATATCTGAGACCTGTGATATATTGATGAAGAAGAGGATGATAGGGGACCTTTAAAGTGCTTCAAGCATACATTTTTCATTCTTTCATGTTTTCGTGATGTGCATGACAAACCATATACAAAGAAAAGAAGTGTGCTCGGAGGATTTGAGCATCATGATATATTGAATATTTTATGTAAATGGTTTATGACCAAACATGAAGTCACTAAGTGGTGTTTGAGGCTCACAAAGTCTACGGCGGGCTGAGAGAGCAGCGTCAGCGCCGACAGGACGCGACAGGAAGTGCTGATGTCGGGCAGGAAGTGGAGCAGGTCGTCCTCCGTCAGCGAGCCCTTCTCCTGAGGGGGGGGGCGGGACATCGAGGACGGACAGTTGGGGATCCAGAGAGCGAAGTCCAGCTGGCGGGCGGGGGGGGGGGGTTAATTAGACATGTCAATCAAGGGTCCAATTAAAGGTTGACAATATTTAGCTATAAACTTAATAACAGGCGACCGATTCTCTAAAAACACTTCCACCTTCAGTTGTAGTTTTTCTGTTTCAATTTGAGAAGAAAGTAATCATTTTAAGTCAGAATTAGAGAAAAGTCAGAATTAGAGAAAAGTCAGAACAAACATTCAAAAAAGTCAGAATTTGAAGAAAAATTCTGAAGTACAAGAAAGAAATCAAAATGTCAGAAAAAAAATCAAAGTTTCAGAAAAAAAATCAAAATTTCAGAAAACAGTCAGAGAAAAATTCATAAAGTAAAGAACTGCTTAAAGATAGCATTTCAGATAACGTGCAATACAAAAGATAATGGTGTTAATGTCAGGACTGAACGGGGGAGTTTCACGGTGATAGCTCTTAGTATCTCTCTATATCTCTGACCTGAGAGAAGTTGACGGCGGCGTGCAGCGCGGAGCAGCTGAAGATGATCATCGTGACGAACTGAGAAACTTCTGCTTTGTTCTGCAGAGACTCGGGGAATCCTGCAGAGACACAGTTTCAGAGACGCTACAGTACACATCCTTTACTCAAGTAGAAGTACAGATACTCGTGTTTAAAAATACTCTGGTGAAAGTAGAAGTACTGACTAAACTTCTTTACTCAAGTAAAAGTAAAGAGGGCTTTGAAATGTACTTCAGTAAAAAGTACCCATAACTAGCAGCTGTTTTAAAGAGTACCTGACCTCCCTTTATATTAATAGAACAATAATGTCATTGTTAGCTAATGAATGTTTCCATGCTGAACAACGGCAACATGACAACGTTTTCATTGGTCCCTCTTCTTTAGAGAAGACCAGGAAATGATGGATACACGGATCGTGTTCAAATCAATAGGCACGCAATGACTCTAAATAATAATGATCACGCCACCAAACACACATTCAAACTAAAGGAACCAGCCTGTTTGGAAAATGTGAGAAGTAGAAAGTACAGGTATTTGTGTTCAACATGTAAGAAGTAGAAAGTACAGGTATTTGTGTTCAACATGTAAGAAGTAGAAAGTACAGGTATTTGTGTTCAACATGTAAGAAGTAGAAAGTACAGGTATTTGTGTTCAACATGTAAGAAGTAGAAAGTACAGGTATTTGGGTTCAAAATGTAAGAAGTCAAAGTAAAAAGTCTTCAGAAAAATAAGTAGTGGAGTAAAGTACTGATACCAGAAACATGTACTTAAGTACAGTAATGAAGTATTTGTACTGCACTACTTCCCTCCTCTGGTTATTGTTGTGTGAACGCACCAGAGTTTTGGCTGAATCCGTGTTTGTTGATGTCTCCGATCCACAGCTGCAGCTCAGAGTCCTGCAGAACCTCCACATCTGCAGAGTAAAACAGATCCACCCAGCGCAGAACAAACCTGCAGCACGGGGAGGAGAGAGGGTCAGTTTGAGTCTTAATGTACGGTGGCTGACAGGTGCCAAAACTCTTCCATCAGGAGAAACACGCTGCAGCTTCAGAAACTATGTCAGAGATTTTGAGATAAAAGTCAACATTTCCGAAAATAGAGAATTTTAGAAAAAAGTTAGAATTTGAGGTAAAAGTCAGAATTTTGCGAAAAAAGTCTAGTTGATTCAGACTCTGGGTGTTTCTCAATCGCGAGTACGCTTGCTTGGTAGCACATGTCTGCCGAGCATCTTGCTTCAGAAGCGAGTCAAGAATACTTCCTGGCATTCGGAAAACGAAGTGTGGAACAGGCTAGCAAGTGTGCAGGTGTGCGTCATATGAGAGGCCCCGCCTTCCATATTGATAGATTTGGGGAAATTGGTCCGTGCGCAAAGCATTGTGGGGATTTTAAGGCCGCGAAATCTACTCATGTGCACACTCGATATTTCTCCAAACGGAGTACGCCGGGCTCGGTAGATTTCCAAGTATGCTGGAGA